CTGGAAATGCAAGGTCTCAAATTAGCTGGATGATGGCGCAACGACGAATTGCAAGAAGGAAAGAATGGCATTGATTCCGAACAGAAAATTCCCCGTCGCCTCGAACACTTGTTTTCCCCCAATCTGACTCCTCCCCGGACAGCACCGAACAGCATTTTCGCTGGGTTACCACGTACAGCTGTGTGGTGTCGTCGTGACTCGCGGTCAGTGAAGTGAAGTGGGCTGGCAGGAAGGCGGGGCCGGACACGGGAAGAGCGACGCGGAAATTCACGAGGACTAGCGGGGAGGATGGGGGAGGGGACCCGTGGAATTGGATTTTCCGTGTTGAAGCGCACGAGGGGGCGAGACGCGCACCGACATCGCGTCCGCTTGCGCGACGAACTCTCGCGAAGCTGCAACGAACGACCGATGTTCCCACACAACCGTCCCTACCTGAGTCAACAAGCACACAAGAAACACTCAATGATAAGTATTGTATCATGGCATACAGCTTCATAATAGGTATTGATAATCATCCAAAGCCAGCATTTGCACACTACTACAAAATCATAAAGGCTGTACATCATAGCACACAAGCATGTGAGTCCATGTGAATTTCTATTCAACACTAATCCCTAGTCTTTCGCTTTTGTTTTGGCCACGCATCACCCATCCCCTTGCAGCAGCCACAATTCTCACAATTGCACCAGGCTGTCTACCAGATTCCACAGGCTTGATTTGAACGCGCTCCACACCTCGCCTTGTATCCATTCCCCTTGTTGCCTTTTGAGGCGCCTCAAAAGCAGGCTTGGTTTGAACGCGCTCCAGACCTCGCCTTGTACTCATTCCCCTTGTTGGCGTTCCTACTCGCGCACTCAGTGCCTCTGCAGCCTGCTGTGCCTCCACAACAGCCAAAGCTGCCCCGCCTATTCTTGATCGGGCATCGTCAATCCACGAAGGATCACATGCCAGTTCTGCGTCAAGCCACGAGCAGCCCTCGCACGACACAGTAGCAGTCACATCACTGTCTCGCGAGCGTGCGTGAAAGCATCTCTTGCATCTCACATCCTTATCCTCCTGGGAGTCAGTCAAAGAATCAAAGGCATATGAGGAGGACCGGTAGAGGGTGGAGGAGACGGAGTGGCGGCGCTGAAGGCCGTCTGTGCGCAAGTCACTGGCGTCAGCAAAGGTCTCTGAGTGGCTTGCGCGAAGGGACGTGGAACCTTGATTGGTTCTGCTGCATCTTGAATCTCCAAGAGACGAGGAAGAGCCTGAGCGGTGAGAGGCAGAGTAGTGAACGGAAACATGGTACGTTGATTCCGTGTCACCATCCTCTGTCAGCGATCCGGGTGAGGTGGAGTGTGTGGTGTCCTCCTCTAAGCGCTGAGCTAGACGGATCCAAACGCTGAGATCACAGTCGCTTGAGATTTGAGGCGTGGAAGAGAGGCGCCTCAAGCACGGCCGATCCGCCTGCCCCGCGTTGCGGCCTGAAAAGGTGGGGTTGCGAGGAGGGAGCTTCGAGGTCTCTAAGCTCTTCCGGGCCTTGGGGCCCTCCGCGCCGCGACCGTCACGATGACGGAAACTGCTGTCATGACTGTCTTGCCGAGTATCAGGGCGTGACGAGAGAAGCACGGAGTCCGTAGAATGCTGTCTCTCGTGCGTGTTTTCAGCCATCCCGATTATTTCTACGCTGTCTGTTGCTAGCATGAGGTGGACGGGAGAAGCTGATATGCTGATTGACGGCGTTCTCAAGCTTGTTCAACTGAACGAGGTGGAAGAAGTGACTGCAAGGATTGAGAATCGAACCCCTTTTCCATTTTCGGAGCTCAACACCTGCGCTTGCAAAGCAAGCCTCACGCCATTGCGTCCGCACATCCATTTCCGCAACGTGATTCGACGACTCAGTTAGTGCATCTACGTCGGCTGGTTAGTTGAACTGAAAGTGAAGGATCTGATTCTGGCCACCTCTACGCACGAGTTCATCGGCCGGTCGCGTCACTGGAAGTGATTCGGCCACGGCGCTGACATGGTGCTAGGACAGCCAGAGCCGCACATTTCGTCACTGAGGGATCTGTGCAATCCTTTTCTCGCTCTAGCAAGGTTCGCTCATTACGAGCTGTATGCGTCAGGAAGAGCAGGGTCCGCACAATGTGCTGCAAGCATCATAAAAGCTAGTGCTATTGACTTAATCACGTGAAGCGCATGCGCTGCTCAGGACAAGCATTTCTGGCTTGCACTCCTAGACCAGACTAGGGGAGGGGACTTCTCTACCATTCAGATACCCTGTAAGGAGCAAGCTGTCAAAGCCGACTTCAGTGTCAGGCGCTGTGTCGTTGAGCTGTGATGCTGGTGGTGCTGACCTCTCTCCGCCACGCAGGTTGAATCATTGCTTTCATCCCAGCCCGTGCTATTTTTCTCGTGAGCCGCATTCTTCGTGGTGGCTGACCTGTGAGGCTGGGTCGTCGTGTGGGTGGATAGGGAAGGGAGCTGGGAAGGAAGGCAAGTCATTCGGGTGCGTGTGTGTTGTGTGGTCATCGTGATTGGAATGGTTGAATGGATGGGAGCAGCGCAACTGTCCGCTGGATGACGGTACCAAGGCACGGCATTCAAATTATGTGGAGGGAGGCTGTCGCTCGCTGGCTGAGGTGGCCGAAGAGCAATGGTACATTCGTGCTCGTGGTTGCATTGTAACAGCTTCGCAATATTATATTCCATAAACCGAATGTCGTACATTCTAGCAGCAATCCTACATATCATATTATTATTATATATTCTTGTTCCATTAAAAAAAACATCTTCTCCAAAAAGGTTGCACCACCCAGCGCATTTGACAAGAATGGCATAAGCCAATATATATATAAAAAAAAAACCACAGTTACTATCACGTGGTTGGGCGCATAAACGGAGCTTGATTATACTTGATGTGGGTGGGCGCCTAGCTTGCCGGGTTACGGCGCCACAACCTCGCCATACTCCCGACGCAAATGCGGAGCTCGCTGTTTACTTTACGGATCTGAGGCAGCCGCCGCGTGCTGTGAATCCGTTCCGCCGTGCTGCTGCGATCCCCATCACGCTGCTCAGAAACATTAGATCGGCCCATGGAGAACCACGCGTTGCGGGACTTGCCCCGAGGCGTGGGAGCTTCTGAGGCGTCTTGAGCTGTAGTGGCGGCTGGGGATGGTTCGCTGCGGCTGAAGCGGAGGGAGGCATTGGCGGAGTAAGGAGTCGGACGCTCTGATTCGTAATGCGCCGAGTCTGCCCGCGCGCTCAGCTCCACTGCCGCCTGCTGCGCCTCGACGACCGCCAGAGCCGCTTCCTTGATTCGCGACCGCGCATCGTCAACCCAGACGGGATCGCATGCCATGTCAGCAACCCTCCAGGAACAGCTCGCGCAGAGGTCGTCGCCGAATATCGACCGCGAAGTAGCGAGGCCTCTGGAAGTTGGGGAGTCGAATAGCTCATCCTCGACGGAACACTCGTCGGAATCGTGATCGAAGCTCGCGGTGTAACAATCTTTTTCATCGCTGCCGTCGAGAGAGTTCGATGAAGGTGTGGTGCGAAGCTGACCAAATATTCCCGTGTTCAACGAGTCATGGCTTCCTCTTGACTGGCTTATCGTCTCTGCGAGGTTTCCCGAGCTGCAGTTGCTGCATCTTCTGAAATCGCCGAAAGCCTGCACTGATGCTGAAGGAAGGTGGTTCTCGAAAATTGTTCGCTGCTCCCGAGTATAGTCGAAGTAACACATGTTTAGAAATGAGAACTAGGACGAAGTGGATAGTGAAGGTTTTTGAGGTAGCCTGGAAATGAGAGAAGAGTTCGAGGTAGTGGGACTTCTTCCACCTGTCTGCGTTGGAGTGATGAAAGGACGGAGGGATTGGACAGAAGATGGTCCTTGTTTGCATGAATTCTGGGATTACCGCACTGAAAGGACGGTCCGATGTCCACCGGGCTTATCCGCAACCAAGGTTGCGTTGAGAGGACGTGGCGGGGAGAGTGACCTTTCTTCGAATTGGCTCCCCCCCGCATCGGCTTGGTGAAAAGCACCACACCTTGGGAATGCTTTGCTGCTGATTGGCTTCTGTCGTGCTGGCGTAAAGGTTCACGTGGGAACACCGCAAGTAGGGGGAAAACAGCTGGAAAGCGACACAAAAAAAGGTCAGATTGCTCACTATGCGATGCGATTTGAAACAAATTTTGTGCGAGGCCCACGCCCTCTACGTTCCAATCCACCAAACTAGGCACACAGCTGTTATGACGGCGAAGCGCCATACGTTGGGACTGCTGTCACTTCTCATGATTGGGCCAGGAAGTGCTGACGCTGCAATGCACCATGTGACGCGTACATCAAATCGCAAACAAGCGACAAAATTCTTGAAAGCGAGAGCCACCTCAGCGTTCTTTGAGAGTCAAACCCCGACACAGTGAAGTTCTAACAGAGAATGTATATCTCACTGTTGGGGTACCCAACTTTTTCGGGAATCACGGGCACGGGCCCAGATACTGGCAGCGTTTCTGGACTGGAAACAAGGTCTGCGAAACTGCTTGATTTGCGAAAGAGGCGATGCTTCGTGTGACCGTGTCGGCATCTGTTCGTGCGGAACAGATCAAGCTTGTCGCAAACGTCGTTGTGAAGCGAGTGACAATCTCCCAACCGAACCCAACATCCATACTCGTAGAAGTGGTGATGGTCGGTCAACCTCTGTACAGTTATTGTGACGCTTGTGGTACACCAAAGACATCAGAACTACTCCTCATGCGGTACAACTATTATGAGGTTTTGCACAAAGACTCGATAATCGTTACTCATGCTAGCTAACAAGCTGGTTCCCTATCATATCAACATTAATACAGAGGCAAAGTGAACGGGACTAAAGGGAAGCCACTGAGCTTGACTTGGGTTTTGTTGTGGCCCTGCATAATCCTTTGTGGGTATGCCGGGGATGCATCACACGGTGCCCACATTCCCCAGATGCTACTGCTAGGGAAGGGCTAAAACAGCACCAGATTATGCATAGCTTGACTCAGACGGAAGGCGGTACTAGCACGGAGTCGGTGCCATGAATGTACATGTCCTCGCCCTCATACATGTCTGGTAGTACCACTCTAACGGGTATATCGCCCTTCCCCTTGAACGCGAGCTTGGACGAATTAACTTTGGACACTTTGGTGACGAACGAGCCTTCCATGGTGGGCAGGCGCGTGTTGATGGGTAAAGCTTTCAGTTGCCACGCCTTGTACGCGCCCCTGATCGCGTGGTACGTGAACATCCGCGCCACCTGCGCATGAGCGACGGGATTGGAAAAAGAACACGAAAGAGGAGGTGTTCTTCCAAAAGACATCTCCGTGCTGGTCAATTTCGGAGCTCGGGTGTTACTCATTCGCTACCTGGTTAAGTCACAAACAGTTTGTCTCTAGAGCATGCTGCATCAATTGTTGACTGCTACCAAGTTTGTGGTCGGTGGAACAAGAGGCGCGAACCAGCGCCGCTCCAACGTATCCGTGCGGATGTAGCTGCTGTCTGTACAGTTTCGTTCAGCGTTGTTTTTATAATTGTGAACCGTCATTAATGTTGAGGAATGTTCAGGGGGTATACTCATGAGCGCATGGACGCGCATGGTGATTCGAAAAGGGTGCGCAGATAATTCTCAAAAGCTTTGACTGTTGACGAAAGCTTAACGACATACCTGATCACTTCTGAACGTGGCGATGGACATGGCGAAAGCCGCCGCGTTGACGGGGAAGAGCAGCGTCGCGTTCTTTAACACGGCGACTCTGCCAGTGTCTGCAGCCACAGCACAGAGGAGGACCATAGTCGCGAGGTGGGGAATATGAAGCAGGTGCACGGGATGGATCAACCGGAATGCTGACATTGGACGCGGTGTGTGGCACGCGGCGGCAGCAAATTGAATAACTACAGTGTTGGGTCCGCGCTGTCGCTAGACTCTACCGTACCATTATTCGAATTATCGTCTGGCGGCGCGTCTGGGGGCGTATCGTCGCTGTTCGTCTTCGGCTTGGCACCGCCGGTCGAGTTGCTCTTCTTCCCTCCAGGAGGCCGCACATCCCCGCCGCTTCCTCCGCCTCCACCTCGAGTTTTCGACCCTCCGCTGCCTCCATTCCCTCCCGCTCCTCCCCTACCCGCCCCTGGCGCAGAAACCGGCGGTGGGCCTTTTCTCACCCCTGTGCCGCCCCCAGAGCCCCCTCCACCGCCCACACTACCCCCTGGTTTCCGCGGAGAGCCTGCACCGCTAGTGGGCTTTATCGGGGATTTTGCTACAGATTTGGGCTTTGTCGGAGACGTAGCGTTAGTCGGTCTTCCGGAACGAGTGGACGCTTTCAGTGGACTGCCTACTAAATCTTCTCGCGGTTTCATCTCAGCAGAGGCACAAATGATGAGCAGAGATAGTGCTACTAACAGAAGGAAAGGTTGCCGAGACATGACTGTTATGAGCGCTTAAAACACGTGGCGCGTAAGTTTCTCTACTTGTATAGTTCAGGGAATGAAGACTCTGGACTAGAAACCTTTTTCTGTCAGATAAACTTCAACTTTCGAAAGGAATCATCACTTCTGGTGCAACTATTAGGAAATGGTCACTCGATTTGTTGGAGGCATTGAGTTGGCAGCACCGACGGTGCAATTGTTTGTGGTGCACTCACCAACATTTCAGAAAGCGAGTGCGCGTCTGTATGCGAGATTCGTATGACAGAGATACTACGGTCGTCGGCCACTCTCAACGTTCGTACTCGTCAACGGGACTTCGCATCATGAGTGACGACAACAAAATCGAACCATGTAATTTCGCGTGCGGTCCGTATATTTGTGAAGGCGCCCTGGCAAAGAGTGACGAGAACGTTTGAGATGGCATTTTGGTTGCCGGAGTACGGACCATCAAACTGAGCGATGCGAGATTCGTCACAAATGAATGACCACCATACACAGCTAATGGATATATGAGTTAGACAGTATAATCCATCAAATAAAAAAAACAGGTGCTACCTTTACATTACAGTCTAACCTTTCATTCCAGAGACACGACTGAAAAATCTGAGAGTTTTGGTACGTAGGCTAATGTAAGATGAACAGTTCTGCGTGCTAGAGAGAGACAAGCCAAACATGTCAGGGAAACAGCACGGATGTGCTTTTAACGAGCCTTCTGCTAGTAACTGCAATTACAGAGGGGAACATGTTAGTAGGGATTAACCACATTCATAATATAATGCAGCAGCTGAAAGGTACTTGGCATGCTTGCGAACGACCCGTATATAAATATTTGCATGCACAACCAATTACCTGTATCCATACCCGGCTTCATTGATCAGGCTCTGATAGCGACGACCTCCGCGCTGGGAATGGTTGATGCGGGGTGGGCTGAATGGACACAGCAGCGAGAGAGGCAGTGGCGGGTGACGATCCAGATAAGAAGCTGATGAACATACTGAACATTCTGGTTTGCAGGCATGTATAAAAAAGGGGGAATAGCAGCTGGGAAGACAAACAATTCTAAGGAAAGACAATGCTTTAGGAGACGTTGGCCAGGTCAAGAGCCATATATTGATTCAGAGCTTTAAGTGGCAACTCACCTCTAGCTTTGGCTGTAGACCCCCCTCATTGGCTGCTGGAGGCTTAACTTCGCCACCTTTTTGCTGCAAGAAGACAATTGGCCACATGTGGAACAATTCTTCATCAGTGCAAGGACCAAGAGGAACAAAAACAAAGAAATTGTGGAGACAATGAGCCAAACCAATGGCATTTCTGGGAGGTGAAGCAGTCTTTGAGATGTCTTTGCTGCTCCAGGGAGGTTCAGATATAGAGGGATAAGGTTGCTGACCTTTTGAATTGCCCACTCGGCTGAGTCAAAAAAAGCTCTCTCATGACCCTGCAGGCAACGAACACCCATCATCGTATATCACAGGATAACCAGTGTAAGAAAGAGGAAATAATGTGTGAGACTAAAGGACAGTGAGCACCGGAGATAAGGCTAAGGGTTAACACTTGTGATTGCATTACCTTCGAAAGAAGCCCCTTTTTCTTTGGAAGCGCTCCGCCATATTTCTTCTTCAAGCGCGCCTCCTATACACGTGAGGAAGTATGGAAGGAGGACCATTGTAGAGCAAGCACGCGCGGGAAATTGGGTAGGGGGGCGAAAGAAGGTTAAGAAACGTGGAAAAAGGGAAGAATCATCACCCAAGCAAGCATTTGAAGATAACATAATCCATTGTAAGAGTTGTTTTGAGAGCGCAATTAGTGGACTTACAATCGGCAGTAGTTCAAATTAGGAACGAATCAAGTACCTGCTCTGCCATAGACAATTCTTGGTCCGCCATGGACTCCGAAATCAAAAGGCTCCAAGAGTGTAGTGAAAATCCAAAATTGTAGGGCGTATATGTGTTCAGCGCAGAAAGAAACCAATAACAGAAGTGCAAATCGTCGAACAACGCAAAATACCCTTCGGTCTAATCTCCGAACAGAATGTGACACCGCGCGACGTCCTTAGCACAGGCTCGTAAAGTCTTCAGCTCCAATCGACACAGCTTTTGCTAGCCTAGGTTTTTCGAGAAACGTCACACAACTGTGGATGTTGGAACACAGCTGGTGCTGGTGTGGGGCGACAGCTGGGAAAGATTACGATGGTGGGAGGAGTTGGTGGGGGTGTGAAGGGAAGGGGAAAGCGAGGTGCACCTGACGGTGTTTTGATCGCTTCCGTCGGTGAACACGGTTGCTGATTGGTCAATACGGCAGCCTGCCCGTTGGCGAATCGGAAAGGGTATGTTCGCGACTGAAAGTAGGCTATGATTGGCAGCGAAACGAATGCTGAGCTCGTCAGCTGGTGACGGGCTGACAGTTCCACTGTGAGGAACCCTTGGGTAACTGTTTGCGGTGGATGCTGGGTTCTGGTGATGATGATCCATCACTCGGTTAGATCCGTTATGTGAAATCCGTATGTACCATTGGTACCTACACTAAATCATTGTCAGCTTAAGAAGCCAGTTATTATGCATCTGTTACAAGGTGTGAAAAACTAGGAAGATACAGTGGTCACCATGCAATGACCATCGGCCACATGTATGTACACAAGAATCAACGAACATCGAGATCAAAACTTATCTAATCAATCATCAAAGTGAACCACAAAAGTGCGAATCTCCATTGGTCCAAGCTCCACAATGAAAGGTCCGTCTGTGGAGTCAAATGCATTCCTCTGACCAACTCCATGGATGCCATTTGTTGACTCCACCTCCTCCTCAGTACTCCATTTCATTGGTGGCCGCATCTTTGAGAGCTTCTGATTGGCCATCAGGCTGAGCTCAGTTACCTTCTCAATCTGTCCAAATGTGGCAGCAATAGACTTGACTTCAGAAATGCAACAAAGAAGAGGTAGGTAGTATTCACGATCATAAAAACAACTCCTTACCTCTTGGTGGGCAAAGAGCCTGTCAAGGTCCACACGAGCAGGCTGCGAGAGAACAGGGTCCTCATTGGCCTGTGACGGAGCAAGCCATAACAGGGTCAAGGGACGTCAGGGGAGGCAAGATAATGAGGACGGGCAATGGTTGACGTAAAGGGTGTTGGGTGAGAAGGAAGAGGGATAAGCAGACAGCCGGTGAAGAAGTGGGGGTAGACCAAGTGGGGTTTGGCACTGGGAGGGCAGTGCAGGGGCGGATGGAGCTCACTTGATAGAGATGGGCGAGTCGCAGCAGCACCTTGTACTCATGCACCTCCTGCAACAGAGGTAAGAGGGGAGAGAGTGAGAGAAACAGGGTGCGTGTGTGTGTGGTGCAAAGGGGGACATTTGACATTGCAAGGGAGGTGCCTCATCGTGTATTACTAGTGTACGCTGAACACAGGGTCAGTGTGACAAGGGCAACTGAGAGAGCATGATGGCACGAGGGGGCTGAATGGGCCTGGTGGTACCTCGAGTGTGATTATGGCAATGTTCTTCGGAAGCTCGTATGCGCCCTCCTTGCTCGCCCTCTCCCCACCCTTCTCACCCCCATCCACTGCCTCTGCATCCTCCTCATCATCGTCGTCCTCCTCCTCTCCCTCTTTCATCTCTTCTTCCTCCTCATAACCTTCCTCCTCCTCCACCTCCACCTCGTCTTCCCCTCTTCTACCCTCAGATTCTTTCATTGCCCGCCTCCCTTCTCCGGCAAGCAGCATTGACAGCATTGGCTCCGTTGACTCCTCAGACTTGCTCCTCTGGGTGCCAGAGAACTGCCACGTGTACAGTCCACCCTCAGCTGCCAGGTCATCCTCATTCTGCACAAGTCAACAACAGTCAGCCGCATTGATCCCAGTCACGCCCAGACAACCATCAATATGAACCACCAGTGGCAATCAACCCCGGTCAAACCCATTCAAGCCCCCATCATGTCCCATCAAGGCAGTCAGCGCCAGTCATCCCCACCCAAGAGCAACAAGCCGCACACACACAAGAGTCAGCAACAAAAGGGAGCATTGTCAAGTACACAGACAGGCAACTTAGAGAGCACGGATGCTGCTATAAGCCAAGTGAGGGGGCGGGAGGGGGAATGTGGATGCGGATGAAATGCGCCCCCCCCATGACCCATGTCACAACACCCAAGGCCTCAGCCGCAAGGCGCATGCGTCGCAACCACCCACCTCGACAGCAAACGCCACTTGCAGCGGAGAGAATATCCGTTGAACATTCCCACGCCGCCACTCCGCAGCCGCTTCAACTCCCTCCTCTGCCCCCTTCCCTGCCACCAACCCCTCTCGACTCCCTTCCACTCCTCCCACTTCCAACACACCCCCCTCGCTCCGCCCATGCGGGTGTAGCCCAAAGCGCAGAGTCCCAGAGACCACGAGGCCCATGCAGGTTGGCGGTTGCGGTTGTTGCACCTCCTGTGCCCCCTCCTGTGCCCCCTCCTGTGCCCCCTCCTGCGCGCCCACGCACACGCGCTCGTTGAGCGGCTCTGCCACGCCGCGGTGGTCGTCATGCAGCAGGCGGCGGTGCAGCATCACCTCCACCTGCCCATCTGAGAGGCTGGTCGCCCCGCTGGGTCGGTCCACCAGCACTGAGAAGTCTGTGTTGTTGTCGTGCAAATAGATGCCCGCGTTCAGCTGGTGGGGGAGAGGGCGAGTGGTGGCAGGCGGGGACGGGAGGGGGTGGGACAGGGAGGAGGGGCATAGGGAAAGAAGGAACTGGTGTTGAAACGCTGTTGTACCGAGGACTGGAATGGTGTGGCAGGTTGGCTGGCACCTGGGATTGCAGTGAACAAAATACCATCCACTCACGGGGTAGTAGTTGCCAGCAGCAGGCTCTGTGACGGTGAGGTTCCAGTCGGGGCGGAAGTTGCGCTTGCGCTGGATGAAATCGCGGCCGTTGGAGTCAGTGTAGAAGGTGGCGTTGCTGGCGAGCGAGGAGGAGAGGCGCAGCACCACCTCCTTGCCAAAGCCATCGTCTATGGGCACCGGTCCCACCTGCGATGAGCAGGGGGCACGTGGGCATGAAATGGGAGGGTGTGAAGGTGATGATGTTGGTTGTTGCTGTTGCTGCAGAGGAAGGAAGAGAGGCGCAGCACCACCTCCTTGCCAAAGCCATCGTCTATGGGCACAGGGCCCACCTGTGATGGGGCAGAGAGGGATAGGGGACAAAGGCAAGCGAAGAGACGGTGTGACGAAGGCTTTGGAATCACTTGAGAGGCGCACCACTGCCTTCCTGCCAACGCCGTCCTCTATGGGCACCGGGCCCTCCTGTGATGCAAAATGTTAAGTTGAGGAGGCGAGCAGGCAGGGGATGAGAGGGTGCAAGGGCGAAGGTTGTGGCAATGCTGCTGGGGGAGGAGGAGAGGCATGCCACTACATGCTTTCCAAAGCTGGCGTCTAGGGGCACTGGCTTCACTTGGCAGAGTGGGAAGAGGCAAGCAGGATGGAGAGGAATGGTGTGACGAAGATGGCAACGAGGGGCAAAGGTGAATGGATGTGGCAGTACAGGCCTGGACTGGAGCAAAGGTGTCTGAACTGGAGAGCAAAAGAAGAGGTATCGTGAAACACGCGGCCATTGTGTTACGGCGTGTCACTGCTTCCCCAGGCCTTACATCGTTCACCGCACCCATAGCACTCAAAGCACTTCCAGTACTCACATCACCCACATCACCCACATCACCCACATCACCCACATCACCCACATCACCCACATCACCCACATCACCCACATCACACACATCACCCACATCACCCACATCACCCACATCACCCACATCACTCACATCACTCACATCACTCACATCACACACATCACCCACATCACTCACATCACTCACATCACTCACATCACTCACATCACGCACATCACCCACATCACCCACATCACCCACATCACCCACATCACTCACATCACTCACATCACTCACATCACTCACATCACTCACGTCACTCACATCACTCACATCACTCACATCACCCACATCACCCACATCACCCACATCACCCACATCACCCACATCACCCACATCACCCACATCACTCACATCACTCACATCACTCACATCACTCACATCACTCACATCACTCACATCACTCACATCACTCACATCACCCACATCACCCACATCACCCACATCACCCACATCACTCACATCACTCACATCACTCACATCACTCACATCACTCACATCACTCACATCACTCACATCACTCACATCACTCACATCACTCACATCACTCACATCACTCACATCACCCACATCACCCACATCACCCACATCACCCACATCACCCACATCACCCACATCACCCACATCACCCACATCACCCACATCACTCACATCACTCACATCACTCACATCACTCACATCACTCACATCACTCACATCACTCACATCACTCACATCACTCACATCACTCACATCACTCACATCACTCACATCACTCACATCACTCACATCACTCACATCACTCACATCACTCACATCACTCACATCACTCACATCACCCGCAGCACTCACCGCATACTCCAGCTCTGCATAGTTGGTGCCCTTGTACACTCTCACGATCTGACACACACAGATGGCAGGCAGAGGTGAGGGGGGGAGAAGCGAGCAGCATGAATAGCATGGAACTGGGAAGGAGAGATAGATAGTATAGCGCCCCCACTTAGTGCCCCCACTTAGTGAACCCACTTAGTCCCCCACTTAGCGTCCCCACTTAGCGCCCCCACCAAGTCTTGCAAGACGATAACAAGCAGAATATAGTCCCTTAAGAAAGGCATGGATTCAAGCTACTCTTATTGGCTTTTAAGCATTGCCTGATCAGGCCATGGTTTGACGTCAGCTTTGAGGTCAGGTGGGCGCTCAGGTTGGAGGTGCAGGTTGGAGGTGCAGGTTGGAGGTGCAGGTTGGAGGTGCAGGTTTGAGGTGCAGGTTTGAGGTGCAGGTTGGAGGTGCAGGTTTGAGGTGCAGGTTTGAGGTGCAGGTTGGAGGTGCAGGTTGGAGGTGCAGGTTGGAGGTGCAGGTTTGAGGTGCAGGTTTGAGGTGCAGGTTTGAGGTGCAGGTTTGAGGTGCAGGTTTGAGATGCAGGTTTGAGGTGCAGGTTTGAGGTGCAGGTTTGAGGTGCAGGTTGGAGGTGCAGGTTGGAGGTGCAGGTTGGAGGTGCAGGTTGAGGTGCAGGTTTGAGGTGCAGGTTTGAGGTGCAGGTTTGAGGTGCAGGTTTGAGGTGCAGGTTTGAGGTGCAGGTTTGAGGTGCAGGTTTGAGGTGCAGGTTTGAGGTGCAGGTTTGAGGTGCAGGTTTGAGGTGCATGACTCACCCCCCATGCATGACTCACCCCCCGTGCATGACTCACCCCTCATCCATGACTCACCCCCCGTGCATGACTCACCCCCCGTGCATGACTCACCCCCCATGCATGACTCACCCCCCCGTGCATGACTCACCCCCCGTGCATGACTCACCCCCCGTGCATGACTCATCCCCCGTGCATGACTCACCCCCGAGCATGACTCACCCCCCGTGCATGACTCACCCCCCGAGCATGACTCACCCCCCATGCATGACTCACCCCCCGTGCATGACTCACCCCCCGTGCATGACTCACCCCCCATGCATGACTCACCCCCCATGCATGACTCACCCCCCGAGCATGACTCACCCCCCATGCATGACTCACCCCCCGTGCATGACTCACCCCCCGTGCATGACTCACCCCCCATGCATGACTCACCCCCCATGCATGACTCACCCCCCCTGCATGGATCCATGTCGCCACCTGTCTTCAAGGTGCCTCAAGAGCAGATTTCCTACCCCTTTCCCCCCAGCCCCCCTCCCTCTCTCCCACCCTTTCCCTCTCACCTCGAGGATCCAGGGCGCCACCTGGCGGTGCACCTCGTCCACCAGTGCGCCCCGCACCACCCGCATGGACGCCTGAAGGGGCGGGGAGAGGGATGAAAAAGAGAGAAGAGAAGTGATGAGCGAGCCGAGATGTGATCCCTGAGGTGCTTGCGGTGCTTGCGGAGGCCAAACATGCCCACCTGGCCATGCCAATCGTCCACCCGTGCCCCTCGCACCACCCACACTGATGCCTGCCTGGGACGGCGGCAAGAGGGATAAAGCAGGGGAAAGAGATGAGAGAGAGCAACGATGTGATGCCTGGGGAAGAGGGCGAGGGGCAACGGATGATGCACAGGGAAGGGGAAAGTGGAGAAGAGACACCGGGATGTGGGTTTTAGACTCCAACTAATTCAGGTGTGGAGAGAGAGGTTGGGGGAGAGGGGTGGGGGAGAGAAAATGGGTGTGTTGGAGGGAGCAGGGGGGACAAGAGAGCAGGTGCGCAGGGCCATACTGCAGTGGCGTTGGGCGGGGTGATGGGCACGGGATCGGAGGAGACGGGGCGGAAAATGTACGCCCCTGATGCCTCCCTGCTCGCCTTTCCATCACTCGCATTGTACCATGCCCACTCCACACCCACATCCGCCGCTGCTGCAGCCCCCGCTGCTGCTGCTTCCCCTTCCTCCGCCTTTGCTTGCCCCCCGCTCCGCTTCAGCAGCACAGCGCGGGTCATCCTGCCCCCCTGAGCCCTGGAGAAAGCAAGTGTCAGCGCACTGTTGCTGCTACTGCCCTCGCCCTCCTCCCCTTCCGCCCAACCACCAATCACTATCTCATCCTCCTCCTCCTCTTCAACTTCCTGCATCACCTTCCCCTCTTCCTTCCGGCCCTCCGTCACTCTCCCTTCCATGCTACCCTCCTGCTCCACACCCTCTTCTCCTGCTATCTCCTGCCACATTCCCTCCTCAACTCCTCCCTGCTTCCTGCCTTCAGGGTATTTATAGAGCACGAAGTACGAGGCAACACCTAGGGGAGGCGCATCTGCCCAAAACACCAGCGACAGCGCCTCCGACTCTGCACTACCAGGCTCGGCACCAGCTGTAGCTTCGGGTCCGGCAGCAGATCTGGCGTTTGGTTTGGCATCAGGTCCGGCATAGGCTTGGATGAGGAAGGAACGGGTGGAGGGGAGGAGGAGGGTGTCTGGAAGGACTTGGGAGGGGATAATTGCCCCGCTGGCATTCATTACTTCCACGTCAGCAGTTGACACCTGGACAAGGCAGGCGTGCGGTAAGACGAAGGAGAGGGAGAAAACACAAGGGGGAGTAGGAGCGGAGAGGAGGGAAGAGGAGAAAGGAAACATCACGATGGGATGAAAACAGAGAAGAGGGTGAGGAGGGGAAAGAGCAGAAACTAGAATGGAGCTCCTGAGAGGGTGCAATTGCGAAAAGGTGGGAAGAGAGGACGCAGTGGTGAGAGGCAAAAGCCGACGAGGGCCCAGGGAGGGTGAAGGTGGCTCACAGGGAATCGGACGATCTCCTTGCGCGCCCATGCCAGTGGATTGTACACCGCTACCACCTGGGTTTGGCACATGCATGCAGGTATAGCACAGCACAAGGCAGCATGCATGACATGGCATTAGAATCCATCCCGTCGCAAGGCAACGCATCAGAGAGGTGCTAGAAGAGACACGCGTGGTGCGATTTGTATATATGACAGCAAGGCACACAGGGAGTGGACACTCACCAGGACTTTCCCATCCTGAAGATCCGTTTGCGAAGGCGGGCAGAATGAAATGTTTGCGAGCGGGCACTGGGGCAGGAGAGAGGGGCACCGGGGAGAAGCAAGAACGGTTATGTCAGGTTGCTGGTGACAGATGAATGAGCAATTAACCAACTGAAAAGGAACAGAAAAGCAAAGAAGATTTTGCAAACGTTGTGTCAAGCCATGGCTGCACTCACCAGCTCAAAGTCCAGCTTCAGACCCTGCCTGCGTGTGCCTGTTTGGTTCTCCGGTGCTGCTGCTACCGGTAATGCTTCTTCTGCTGCTGCTGCTGCGCCCCGTTTCTTGAGCGCTCGCAGGAGGGGCGAGGTGGGAGGGCGGGTGGGCCGGGAGCGTGGCATCTGCTGCAGGAGAGACTGGGCCTGCCACGTGTCAGCGTCTGACTGCCGAGAGATCATGTAGCGAATGGCCCGTGTGAGCAGTGAGGAGGCCTGAATAGACACAAGCAGGTGGGGATTGGGAACGGGCAGAAGATGGAGGTGGGGGATCAATGCACCAGCCAAGGGCTGGAACTGCATACGCTCCCTGCCATACACAACCAAGGTGATGATGATTGATGTGGATGATAGACGGGGTAGAATCATTCTAGAACCACACAATGCCTCAGAGGGAAGATTAGATGATCTGTCCTGGCCCCCTGTGATCATCACAAGGGGCTCCGATGACAAGAAATTCACTCATCCCTGGCAGCATCTCTACACCTGCTATTACTCATCTGACCAGTATCATCTGCATGATGCATGCATGCATGTGCCACGTGGCATGCCTCAGAGAGATGATCAGATGCTCTGACCTGACATGCCCCCCAGTGATCATCACAGGGGGTTCCAATGACAAGAAATTCGCTCATCCCTGGCAAAACTTCTACACTTGCTATGACTCATCGGACACCTATCATCTGCATGATGCATGCATGTGCCACGTGGCACGCCTCAGAGAGAAGATTAGATGTTCTGTCCCGGCCCCCGGTGATCATCACAGGGGGCTCCAATGACAAGAAATTCGCTCATCTCTGGCAGCATCAATAGCAATGCTATCACTCATCCGACTCAGACAATGATTAGACGACCCATGGTGGCATGAACAGTGGTGCTGATTATATGAGCTATGCGCTCACTGATAAATTCTCTTGATTGCCCATTGCGTGCATGTGCCACGTGGCACGCCTCAGAGAGAAGATTAGATGTTCTGTCCCGGCCCCCGGTGATCATCACAGGGGGCTCCGATGACAAGAAATTCGGTCATCTCTGGCAGCATCAATAGCAATGCTATCACTCATCCGACTCAGACAATGATTAGACGACCCATGGTGGCATGAACAGTGGTGCTGATTATATGAGCTATGCGCTCACTGATAAATTCTCTTGATTGCCCATTGCGTGCATGTGCCACGTGGCACGCCTCAGAGAGAAGATTAGATGTTCTGTCCCGGCCCCCGGTGATCATCACAGGGGGCTCCGATGACAAGAAATTCACTCATCCCTGGCAGCAGCAACAGCAGCCAGCCATCCTTTCTACCCCTAAGATTATTGAGCACCTCATCTGATGCTTCCCATCCATCCGCCATGCAGCTATGTCGTGTGCCACATGCCATCCGGTTAGATAGTGAGTGAAGCAGACATGTGCCACTGCGAAAAGGACGTGATTTCCACGTGGAGGGTATGCGATGCGCACAGGGGGCTCCGATGACAAGAAATTCACTCATCTCTGGCATCACCACAGGCCCTTTTCACCAACGCCCCACTGACTCAACACAGCCCTTCCAGCAGAGCCATGCAGAGCAGGCCCACACGAGGCCTGGCTGGTGTGTGTGTGTACAGCCATCACCAGCCAGCAAGCAAGACCAAGAACAGAGATAAGGAAACGCGAGATGTGGATGTGGAGTGGCGGGTGGGCGGGACAGATATCTCAGAGGGGATATAAGGGTCTGTCACGGCCCCTCATGAGGGCTCCGATGACAAGAAATTCACTCATCACTGGCTGTGGCAGCATGGCCCTTGCTACCGGGACAGAAAAGCACATCACACTGACGTTTGGATACCACACCATAAACATGCATGAGCACATCACACCAAACTAAGAGACCAAGTTAATGCAGCGGGCGAGGATATATAACAGCAGAGCCCAGCAAAAGCACACGAGGCCCAATTCACACAGGCATTACCACGGAACCAGAGGATCAGGAACCGGTATGGGGAAGGCAGCCTGGGGGCACACGATGCCTCAGAGAGAAGATTAGATGCTCTGTCATGCCCCCCTGTGATCGCCACAGGGGGCTCCGATGACAAGAAATTCACTCATCCCTGGCAGCGGTACTGGCCTCTTCACTGGCAGCACCCACTTGACTTCACGCTTCCTTGCTTCCACTCAACAGCTCCACAGAGCCACACAAGAGGACAGGAATGCACAGACGGGATTCAAGACAGGCGTGCACGATTGATTCTCCCCTCCCCGCGCTCACCTTTTGAGGCGCCTCAAAAGACAGGCGTGCACGATTGATTCTCCCCTCCCCGCAACGCTCACCTTCACGGCCCCGCGGTAGAGCCGCAGAGTGTAGTCGTCGTTGACGTGCTGCTTGGCCATGCCGTGCCGCTCACATTCAAGGCGTGTCAAAAGCAGCCCAGTCCCCGCAACGCTCACCTTGACGGCCCCGCGGTACAGCCTGATGGTGTAGTCGTCGTTGACATGCTGCTTGGCCGTGCCGCTCACCGAGTCGTGGTGCTGCGCCACCGCCATCGCCTCCTCCAGCTCCTCCACCCCCCACTCCCGCCCCTCCACTCCCACACCCGCCTCCTCCACTCCTCTCCCCAGCCTGCTCCGCCCCACCAGGGTCTCCACTTGCCTGGCAGCCTGGCACGCAGGAAGGTTGGGCGAGAGGGGAGGCGGAAGAGGGTCACGGCAAGAGGGAACAAAGTGGACGGAAACGGAGATTTGCAGGACAAGTTGAGGGAGCGTTTGAGCTGCAAGCATTGAACTCGCAGCAACGGCATGCCGTATCAAGTGCAAGAACAAACGAGCCAGTCCAAGGAAAGGAGGAAACATGCAAGAGATGGTTGACGGGCGGCGGGGGCGTGCACGAGCGAGTGGGAGGGGCAGGGGCGGGGTGGGGAGGACAGAATGGGGCAGGGGCGGGCTAGGGAGGAACGAGGGGGGGGCAGGGGCGGGCTGGGAAGGGCAGGGTAGGGCAGGGGCGGGGCGTACGAGGAGCAGCGCGCTGCAGTGGCGCACGTAGCGTTTGAAGGCGGGGCGGGAGGAGAAGTACCCCGTCCAGTAGCAGTGCGGACAGTCCGCATAGCTGCATGCAAGGGGGGGCGGAGGATGGGAGCAGGACAGGGAAGTAGGGAGCGAAACAAATAGCTGAACATGTCAACGAGAGATGAGTAAACAGAGCCGCAAGTGAAGACGGCAAAGCGAAGTGGGGAGGGGTGGGGTAGGGGGGTGGGACTGAAAGATTCAAGACGATAACAGTACATGGGGGAAGGGGATGGGGGAAAGGGGAGGGGGGAAAGGGGAGTGGGGGAAGGGGAGGGGGGCAAGAGGAGGGGGGAAAGGGGAGTGGGGAAGGGGAAGGGGGGAAGGAGGGGAAGAGTAGCTCACGGGAAGAAGTCACCCGTTTTGACGGGCCAGGACTCGTTGGCGCGGTGCTTGGCGTCCACATAGATGGAGGGCGTGGAGTAGAAGGCGTTCACACGGCCGTCACGGTTGACGTAGTGGATGAGCTTGTCCATGTTGCGGAACCACGTCACCGCGTTGCTGTATGCAAAGTCGTCGCCCATCGTCCACATGATGTGGTTTGTACGGTAGCTCTCTGCCTGGTAAGGTGGTGCATGGGTTTAGGGCATGGGGGTAGGGCATGGGGTGTGGTGCATGAGGTGCGGTGTATGGGGTGTGGTGCTGGGGTGTGGTGCATGGGGTATGGTGCATGGGAAGTGGTGTATGGGGTAAGGAGGGATGTGGCGCATGGGATGTGGTACATGGCCCCACCCCACGGCCATTCCACCCCAAACCCAACCCCACCCCCAACCAGTCCCAAACCCCCCACCTCGACCCACCCTCCCCCCCTATCCTGCGTTCCCTCTCCCCCCCTTACCTGTTTGAGCGCAGTTTCCACGAACTTGTCCACGCGCTCCTGCACATTGTAGTCATATAGCTCAGGGTCGTCCTGTTACAGGGGGGGAGTTTGAGGGGGGGGGGAGGAGAATGAACCACTACACGGACGAGATCAGAACGAGACGTCCCGCACACCCATGGGAGCGTAGACACAACCAGCATCACACTCCCAGGCTGCCACAGCCAGCAGCCAGCCCAGCGCAAGCTCTCTCGCGCGCATCTCACCTGCACGGGCGGGTCCCAGTTGTTGGTGTCGTAGCGGAACGAGTCGGGCGGCAGGTAGTGCACGTACAGCCGCCCGCCGAACAACTCCGCGCGCTCCTTAAGCGTGTCGGACGCGCGCCACACGAACTCCGCCGTGCGCGCGCGGTACCGCGCCTCGCTGTCCTCGTAGTCCGCGCGCGCGAAGAACACCGCGTCAAACCCGCCCTGTTGGGGGGAAAGCGGGCAGGGGAGAGGAGTAAAGGCCGAGGTGAAAGGTGAAACAGTGTACTGGTGGAACAGTGCTGTCCTCGTAGTCTGCTCTGCGCGTGCGCAGAACACCGGGCTGGCCTGTTGGGGGTAGGGGGAGGCGCGTCGGGAGGGGTAATCGTTTCCCCTCGAGTCATGCTGCACCAAGCAGTAACCAGGAAAACCTAGAAGCGCCCAGCAGAACCCAGCAGCACCGAGCAGCACGGACCTTGCGGAACCCACCATGGCGGAGATGAGGTAGCCCTGCACGGCGGAATGGCCGAAGGGGTCGATCTGCCAGGCGACGCGCGGCACCTGGCCGAACTGGCGGCGGATGAGGCGCAGCCCCAGCGACATCTGGTGCACCATGTCCGTGTAGTGCGTCGCCGCCTCGTCGTGCATGCACCACCCGCCGTTGCTATGGGAGGGGAGGAGGGTGTGTGGAGAGAGGAGAGGATGAGGCGCAGGCCGAGGGACATCTGGTGCACCATGTCCGTGTAATGCGTCGCCGCCTCGTCGTGCATGCACCACCCGCCGTTGCTGCACGAACAAGGCACGGGGGGCCCACGGGATGTCGCCTATTCAGCTGCCTGGTGTCATCTGGACGCCATCTCCTTCAATTCCAAACGTCAGCAGACAAAAATGCTTCTCAAATCGCCGACATACGCCATTGTTGAAATGACCGCATTCATCCTCCCCCAACATCGCCGTCACCAGACCACATCATACATCCCTTCACGGCATATCCCCTGCTCCCGTATTAGAGCTCCGACATTCCCTTTAAGACTTACGTGAACTCCAATTGACCGTTCTTGACCAACCGCCTGACGACACGTTGCACGGCCTTGGATTGGCGGCGCCACCAGCGCTGGAAGAATGCCTGCTCCACCTGGATGAACTTCCGGTTGGGGTCCTCGCTCAGTTGCTCCACCACTGTATCGAGTATGTACTGTACTGCAGCGACCTAAAACAGATCAACAGACCGTTATCACAAACGTGAATTAGCATCAGGTGATTAATCCAAATCCTCTTAAATTCACCCGAAATCACGATTAAAATGCACGAAAACAGATCAGATTTACAGAGATTTGGGTGCACGGATGTCCACGTCAACTCACCTGAATGGAGTTGTTCGACCCGATATAGTACTGATCGACGGTTTTAAGCCATCCCACGTCATCATGCGAATGCGCGACGAGGTGCACGTTCAGCTTCCCCTCCACGGGGCCGGCCCGCGTGTTGTACCTTCCACGCCTCCCCCCGCCCTTCCCAAAATCACGATGATCGTGATCGTGATGATGTTGACGATGGTGGTGACGTCTCTCACGGTGCTCATGGCCAGCACTAGCGGCCGTGATACAAGCGTTACCGATTAAAGCTGCTATTATGAGGGATGCTAAAAGGAAATGCGACCGCAAAGCGGATCTTGAAAACTGCTCCATATGGTCAACAACGACGGAGCGCCTGGATACGGAATCTGGCAATCTCTTGACCTTTCGTCCAATCCACGAGAGGTCAGCAAGTGCCCGCGACTGACGGATTCCGGCGTACGAAAAACAGCACTGAGAACACGATGTTCTCAGCTGCTGGAAACAGCAAAATGGCAGGACAGAGACACAAGGGTGCAGGAGATAGAGGAGATTCACCGAGGTCGGAAAAATCTGAACCTGAGCAGCTTCATTTCGGTGCTGCCTTCAGCTTCAGGCGCAGGGCGGGGAAAGCTTTTCGCCTGACAGCAAGCGGTTGGATGGAAATCGGGGTGAAGGGGATTGCTATGGCCATGTCAGCTCGCCCAGCTCAGATTGGGCGGAGTCCACGTGGTCATGGCCTGGCCATTTGCCAACAGTAAATACAACGATTCTGAGAACATATTTAGATGCATTTCCAGCACATTATTGTAAAGGAAAATCTCTTTTTCCTTACTTCGCATCCCTGCTCAACGCGTACATCACTGTAGCGCCACAGTCAGCACCGTTACCACTCGCAATCGTCGCATCGACAATCCGCCTGCCACCTTCGCACGTCGCACCCCCACCTCACGGCTCGGCGGGTAACCCGCGCTACGGGCCTCCGCTTCGACACTTTTCCTAACCTCAGTCCCAGGCCCATCGCGCGACAACCACAGTCCATTACCGTTATCACTGTAGTTTCGCTATATATTCCTCGCTCATACCTTCGCTCATTGTACTCGTGCTTCGATAGTGCAATTCTCGTTCGTTCACTCAATTGCACTCGTAACACTTGGTATTCAGAGCCTACGATCTCTTCTAGGACCGCACCCACACCTTCGCTTCCCCACTATCTCAGTTTTGTGAGGGGGGGTAGACCTCTCTCAGCGACACAGCACCGCCGCTCGTAGTGCTCTCTCGTAAGCACGCACGGCCACAACTGAGGCTCTCGCTGAGCTCGCCCGACACCCCCGCCATGGCCGAATTCACGCTCGCCACATTGACGCAGGAGCAGCTCGACCGTCTGGTACGCCAACTCGAAGATTCGGCGCTCGAAATTGCGATGCTTACAGCGGAACGTGACTCCGCGCGTCAGCAATCAACGGTGAACACTCCAGCAGCACCACACGCACCAACAAATGCACCTGCACAATCGGACGAGCCAATTGTCATCTCGTCCGGGACACCGATACAACACGACAGCGTGGGACAGCGCTCGGGCGCAGCCAGTGATAGCGCCGCCCAACCAATGCCTGGCATGGGAGGAAACAGGGGCGCGCCAAGCCCGCAGGAGCCTCGCGAAGCCCGTCCGCACGTAGAGTTCGCGGCGACAAGTGGCGAACAGGCCATCATGGCACCAATGCCACTCAAGCCGCAACGCCCGCCCTGTTTCGACCCGAGCCAGCGTGGAGGTCCGACCGTTCAATCATGGGTTTTCACGATGAACGTCTTCTTCGACGCGAATTACGTCGAGTCGGACGCAGCGAAGATTCGGTATGCCGTTTCGCTGTTAAGGGGCCCCACCATGGACTGGTGGCGAGTCATCGTGACGTCGCCACGCGCCTACGAGCCACCTGTGGAAACAAAGAACGAGAATGAATGACTATGAAGTGAAGTGAATACAAATAGGAAACCCTAATGTGTTGTACCCCCTATGGGATACCCCACTATAGCCTACACAAACAAGTAAGCTATATGTTCTGACACACCCCCATAGGCAAAGTGGGGGAGAACAAGGGGTCACAAGACCAGTCAAGCAAAGCAAAGCAAAGCTCAGGGTGGATCACAAAGTCACCACGCATTCCGAGCACAAGTTCAAAGGCCACAAGGCCAGTTCACATGCAAGATCATATATAGAGATATACAAGAGCAAGAGTATATATATGCGAAGGCACAAGCAAGGTCAAGAGGAGAGCAAGTGAAGCAAGACAGGCACAAGACCCAACTGCGTGCAGCAACGCTGATGATCACAAGGCGCAAGTGCCTTGGTGAAGACATCAGCAGTGTTGGCCTCAGAGGCCACGTACGCAAGTCGCAGCTGTCCACGCTGCTGTAGCTCACGAGCAAGAAAGTAGCGAAGAGCAATGTGCTTCGTTCTGTGCTCCAGTCGCTGCTCTCGACACAAGGCCAGCATGGCCTTGTTGTCTACGTACAGGACTGGAGGAGAACGAGGCTGCTCTCCAAGGTCGGTCAGCAGGTAGGTGAGCCAGCGTAACTCCTGTGCAGCCATAGCCCCAGCGTAGATCTCAGCCTCACAACTGGAGCCGAGAACAGAAGACGAGCGGGTAGCCCGCCACGAGACAGAGCCGGAACCAAGGCTGAAGGTGTAACCCTGTGACGACCGCTGCGTAGCCTGGTCGTCAGCCCAAGAAGCGTCTGCGTGCCCAGTGAGGACCACTGGACTGCGCCCTCGAAGCACTAGCCCCATGCCCGACGTACTGCACAAGTAGCGCAACACCCTCTTCGCTGCAGCCATGTGCTCTGGTCGGTGTCTCCCAGGAGCAACAAAGCGTGCGAGAATGCTAAGAGGGTATGCGAGGTCAGGTCGTGTGCAGGTCATCAGGTACATGAGGCAGCCAACAAGCTCTGCAAACGGGCCACTCGACTCTACGGACTCATCCGAAGGCAGAGCTGAGAGCGAGTGGCGAGTAGGCAGAGGAGTGGCCTGAGGCGAGGAGTACGTGAAGCCGAAGCGCTGAAGGACCTGCTGCACCATGTGTGACTGAGTCAGGGTAATGGTGCGGCGTGCTCTGTCCCGGGTGATCTGCAAGCCAAGGTAGCTGCGCAGTTCACCCAGGTCAGTGCACGTGTGTCTCTTCTGCAGCTCGGACTTCACGTAGGCGAGTCCAGCAGTGTCAGCTGTGGCAAAGACCAAGTCGTCGACGTACACGAGGATGTAGAACGGCGGCAGAGAGGTGTCGGTGCGCAGAAACAGCGACGGGTCGGCAGTGGAAGGAGCAAACCCAAGTGCCGCGAGCGTAGTCCTCAGTGTGTCGTGCCACTCACGTGGCGCCTGGCGGAGACCGTAGACTGGACGCCGGAGACTCCACTGGGTACCAGGAGGGAAAGACCCAGTGAAGCCAGGTGGGCGACGCAGCCAGATCTCCTCGTGCAGGCTGCCCTGCAAGAAAGCTGTGCTGAAGTCGAGAGAGTGGAGCTCGTAGTCACGGTGAGCAGCAACGTGCAGCAGAACCCGAAGAGTGGTCATCTTCGGGGTGGGGGAGAAGGTCTGAAAGTAGTCAACCCCCTGCCGCTGACTGAAGCCACGAGCCACGTAACGCGCCTTGAAGACAGGCGGAGAACCCGGCGGCCGCTTCACCCTGAAAATCCACATGCCACTGACGATGTTCGCCCCAGGAGGGGGAACAGCGTCAACGTAGGTGCCTGTGGACTTCCAGGAAGCCATCTCTGCATCCATAGCTGCCTGCCACTGAGAGGAGTAGGGACCCTCTATCGCCTCCGCGTAAGAGCGCGGAGTCGGGATGTCTGGTGCATCCGGGTCTCCCTCAGGGGCTAGCAGTACAGACGCGAGACGAGGTGAAGCGGCGGCCAGACACTGGAACTCCTCCTGCCTGTCCTCAAGGACGTCCGTGCCAAGGGCACACTCACCCCCGACGGACGGAGGACAGGCGGACTCAGACTCAGTGACAAGACGAGCAGCGTAGTCTAGACGACAGCGCGCAGCAAAGTCGACAAGCTCAGTGACAAGGGCAGACGCAGCAGACGACTCGAAGGAGGGGTCAGTGACAGCAGTAGCAAGGAGACGCGTGACAGTAGGACTGGCAGCACGAAGAGAGTCCGACTCCGGGTCGGCAAGAGCAGGAAGAGAGGAAGCAGGAGGAGAAGGCAAAGGGGCACGCAGAGGAGCAGTGGACGGACGCAGTGACATCCGGTGCGTGCCAGGGACAGGAGGAGGACGCTGACGCGACCCGCGACCACTAGCGCGCTCAGTACGAACAGGCGACACAGG